CGCTTCCAATGGTTAGTTCTTAAATCTCACCACAACTATATCAGATAGGCAAAAAAATAGAGAAGACAATCAAATAAATATTAATAAAAAAAAGAAGATCAAGGGTAGGAAGTGAAGGGGAGAATAATAGTGGAAAATGGTAGAAAAAAAAAAAAAGATATGGGGTATGAGACCGCACCAGGACAGGATATTTGATATTTAAATAGGTGTCTGTAATGCAATGTATGTCTGCCAAGGGTAGCAAATCTTGTTATGTAGAACACGTGTATCACAATGCCTGACCATCAGTTGATCCATACTATATATAAATTTAGCATTCTAAAGAGAGTAAGGGACACATCTAATTAGAAAAAACAGAGTGTTCCTTTAACCTCTTGATGCACTATAATTTGAAATTTAAATTTAAATGTTTGAATGAATTACCAGGGTAAAAACTGAAGATGATCAAAAGCGAAATCAGTAAAGTTCTAAAGCAAGGTATGTCATTTATAAGAAATGCACCAAGAATAATTGGAATGCCTTCACCTTCAATTCAAAATATATTTCTGATTCCCCTTCAATGTAGGACTTTCAGAGAGATTTAGCCTATTATACAGTCATTGCTCTTTCAGAGGAAGCAAACGAGATGCTAAGATGGTTATTAAAACATGATGGAGGTTTGGAACAGCAAAATGTTCAGATTGGAACCAGAAATTGTCATGTATAATTTGATACACGCAGATACGTTTGGGATGCTTGCTGTAGCGATAAGATATCAGGAGGAAATGGTCATTGGATGAGAAAAAAAGACATAGTAAATTGGAATTATTTGCAAACTTATTTGGCGTTGAAGAGTCTGATAAAAAGTAGAATAAGCATACATTCCTTTGTCTATTGACAATGTTCTGGCGATGAAAGTGCGAACCACAAAGATGGAACAAAATTCAGGCTGAGCTTGTACATCTGTTTAGAAAAGAACCTTTCTCTCAAAGCAGAACATTGTCCAGGATTTATATATACAATAGTAGTTTAGAAAACCAGTTAACTGGTAAACAGCAACTAGATAAGTGGGTGTTTTCCAAGATTAATTAAATAGAAATTTGTTTGCATCTGAATAGAGAACTAGAAAACTATTTCAGTTGGAGAACTGATCCAGAGGTTATGGCTCTGGACAAATTTATGAAGAATTGCACTTAAAGGATATATGAATTCTTGCATTTCGGTACAAAAAAAATAACATGGCTATTACTCATTAATTTTTAAGACTCATCATCAATGGTTTAATCAATTCCTTAGCTTAACTATACATCACCCATGGTTGATTCACTTTTGTCCAATGTTACTGTTGTGTCTGGAGAAGAACTCTCTAGTGTGGTTGGTTTAAGAGGACTCTGGTATATAAAGCGGTTTTGCAAACAAATATGATTTTGGGAACAGGTCCATGGGCATCCAGATTGAAACAATACTTTACATCTTCAGCGCCTAAATTGGCTTGTTTATGTTTGCAGATCCTTTATAGCATCTTTAATTTATGCATTGGAGTTTTTACCATCTCAGTATGAGCAAGCAAAGGCACGTTTTACCCCATCCAATTTTCTGTGCTGTTTTCTCTCTTTTATTTGTGTTGAAATATTTTACTGTTATACTGTCAATTACTCATTTTTATTGTCTCACTTATGCATGCTTAAACTTTAAATACAATTTATTGCTGGTTTAATATTTATTTTATTTGCAATCACTTTGTTTACTTATCACATTTTATTTTTCTATGAAAGTTTGATTTTGTTAGGATGCAGGAAGTGTTACTAAAGCTGGAAGTCTGAAACCATTATTAAAAGAATATTAAATGGAATGTATTCTTTGGAAGACTAAAGGTTTCGTTTTATGACATTGGCAGAGTGTTTCCATCGGAAAATACTAATGCACCTAGAGCTTGGGACATATGGCTCTAGAACATGTGTGTGCACTGTTACCTATTTATTTCACACTTGGTACATAACGTTATGTGTGTTTTTTTGATGTTAATACATGTTGTTCCATACTGACATATTAAGAAAAGTCCATCTGCACTAATTACAGGAAAGTTTCAATGGTGAATTAAATCAATTAAGAGATGTGCTGTGCTACCACTTTTAAGCCCTAACATTCAGCTCTTTTAGAGCCAGCAATGGTTGGGTCTGTTTTATAGTCATATTTATTGTTTAAGATAAATACACATAATAAAAATGTATTTAGCAACTTAAGTAAGATTTTTAATTTTTTACCTTCTTTCACAACTGTTTTAATATCCAAGCCCACTATACCTATGGCAGGAAGAGAGAGCTACATTCTTTGAGTAAATTCTGAACTGTGTGTCAGGAGATATGAAAAGGGAGTGCTAAAAAGATCTTTTTAAATATCATAGTTATACATTTGTTTGTATTATCAATGAAAACATAAATAATATTTACAAACCCATTATACTACAGTCATTGTTTTACTAAGTTAGTACCACACCTACTATTTAAAAAAAATATATTCTCATTTGTGTATTAAAGGGACACTATAGTCACCAGAACCCCTAGAACTTAATGTAGTGGTTCTGGAGTCTCTAGCATATCCCTGCAGGCTTTTCAATGTAAACTCTGCCTTTTCAGAGAACCCATACCCCATTGCACATGTACGAATAGGAAAAAGTCTCGTTCATGGTTAATAGAGGTCATGATATGAAATAGATCACATTTAAAAAACTTAGTATACGGGATAGGTGTGGGAATATTTCTGAGGTATTTAGATGTCAATTTAAGCATAAAAAGTGTATTAACGACATCTTACATTACATCTGGAAAAAATAGCTAACTAATACTTACAAGTTAATGTGTGGTTGTTCTTTCAATTTTAGAAACAAGTCTTTGTAAAACTGTGAAACAATACAAAAATTACAGGCGTAGTCAGCCTTCGACACTCCAGAAGTTGTGGACTAAATACTGAATAATGCTCTTCAATAATAATGCTGGTAAGGAATTATGGGAGATGTAGTACACAACATCTGGAGTGCTTAAGGTTGCCTACCCCTGCAATAATACAATTTTATACAATAATATAATGATCCAAATTATTTTCTGAACCAGCAAATAATTTTTGGGGATAATCTACAAAAGGCCAACTTTTAAATTCAGTTGTGCTATAAAGTTTGCAAACCCTCGGAGAATTGGTAAAATATGTACCATTTTTAAAGAAAACATAAATGAGCAGGCAGAACACGTTTCGTTTATTTCTTATGGGATTCATATTCAACTGTAGGTTATAAAAGAATGGCACAATCATGAAACAAAACATGGCAACAAAGAAAAAATGAAATGATCCCTGTTCAAAATTCAGCATACCTTTAGTTCCTAATACTGTGTATTACCTCCTTTAGCATCAATGAGAGCATGCAATATTTTGTAATAGTTGTGTATGAGGCCCCTAATTCTTGCAGGTGGTATTGCTTCCCATTCATCTTGGCAAAATGCCTCCAGGTCATGCAAAGTATTTGGTCGTCTTGCAAGAAATGATATTAAGATCAGGAGACTTTAATGGCCACTCCAGAACCTTCACCTTTTTCTGCTGTACCCACTGGAGGGTCAACTTGGCCTTGTGCTTAGGGTCATTGTCATGCTGGAAAGTCCAAGAGCGTGCCATATGCAGCCTTCATGCAGAAAAATGGAAATTGTCTGCCAGTATTTTCTGCTACTGCAGATACTGCATTTATCTTGCCATCAGTTTTCACAAGATTCCCCGTACCTTTAGAGTTCAACCCACGCCCCCATAACATCAGTAAATCACCACCATGCTTCACAGTGTGGATGGTATTCTTTTCACTATGGGCCTTGTTGACCCCTCTCCAAATATAGCTCTTATGGTTGTGACCATAAAGCTCTATTTTGCCCTTGCCACTCTAAATTACAGTGTGCCAGAAGCTTTGAGACAGCTTAAGGTGTTGTTGGGCATGTTGTAACCAGGCTTTTTTGTGGCATTGGCACAGTAAAGTGTCATTGGCGCAGTAAAGGCTTCTTTCTGGCAAATCGACCATGCAGCTTATTTTTGTTCAAGTATCGTCATATTGTGCTACTTGAAACAACCACACCACCTTTTTCAAGAGCAGCCTGTATTTCTCCTGAGGTTACCTGTGGGTTTTTCTTTGTATCTCGAACAATTCTTCTGGCAGTTATGACTGAAATATTTCTTGGTTTACCTGAACATGGCTTGGTATCAAGAGATCCTGAATTTGCCACTTCTTAATAAGTGATTGAACAGTACTGACTGGCATTTTCAAGGCTTAAGATATCTTTTTATACCTTTTTCCATCTTTAGAAAGTTCCATTAGTGTGTTACACATGTCTTTTTACAGTTCTTTTTGTTTCCCATGGCTCAGTATCTAGCCTGCTCAGTGCATCAACATGAGAGCTAACAAACACATTGACTATATATACACAGACACTAATTTCAATTTAAAAAGTCACAGGTTTGTGAAATGAACATTTAATTTACATTTTAACCTGTGTGTGTCACCTTGTGTGTCTGTAACAAAGCCAAGCATTCAAGGGTATGTAAAGTTTTGATCAGGGCCATGTGGGGTATTTCTGTTATCATTATGATTTTAAAAGGAGCCAAACTACTATGTGATAATAAATGGCTTTAAATTATCACTATCCTTCAATAAAAGACATGTTTTTGCATTATCAGTTATATTTTTAAAATCAATGCCAACATTTCACAATTTCTGCCAGGCTTTTGAGCACAACTGTACCTAGTGAGTGACAGTCAGAAAACATATAATATTCTGTAAGGTGGTTACTGCATATGTGTTAAATATGACTCAAGGCTATGGTAACACACATAATCGATACACACATCAGTCTATTACATAAGGGTAAAGTAATAAATTAGGCAAAATAACTGATTACAGCCAAAGTCTGCACCAACCTTTAGATAAATATATTTATTTTTGGGAACTGGTAAATGGTTCATGATGGATGTACACCACCCACCAGCCCCATTACTATAGAAACATAGAAACATAGAATGTGACGGCAGATAAGAACCATTCGGCCCATCTAGTCTGCCCAATTTTCTAAATACTTTCATTAGTCCCTGGCCTTATCTTATAGTTAGGATAGCCTTATGCCTATCCCACGCATGCTTAAACTCCTTTACTGTGTTAACCTCTACCACTTCAGCTGGAAGGCTATTCCATGCATCCACTACCCTCTCAGTAAAGTAATACTTCCTGATATTATTTTTAAACCTTTGACCCTCTAATTTAAGACTATGTCCTCTTGTTGTGGTAGTTTTTCTTCTTTTAAATATAGTCTCCTCCTTTACTGTGTTGATTCCCTTTATATATTTAAATGTTTCTATCATATCCCCCCTGTCTCGTCTTTCCTCCAAGCTATACATGTTAAGATCCTTTAACCTTTCCTGGTAAGTTTTATCCCGCAATCCATGAACCAGTTTAGTAGCCCTTCTCTGAACCCTCTCTAAGGTATCAATATCCTTCTGAAGATACGGTCTCCAGTACTGTGTACAATACTCCAAGTGAGGTCTCACCAGTGTTCTGTACAATGGCATGAGCACTTCCCTCTTTCTACTGCTAATACCTCTCCCTATACAACCAAGCATTCTGCTAGCATTTCCTGCTGCTCTATTACATTGTCTGCCTACCTTTAAGTCATCAGAAATAATCACCCCTAAATCCCTTTCCTCAATTGTTGAGGTTAGGACTCTATCAAATATTCTGTACTCTGCCCTTGGGTTTTTACGTCCAAGATGCATTATCTTGCACTATGATGGACCTTATGAGATGATCAAATAACATCCTTATTAATTCTGCCACTCTCCTGGCATATTACAAGACAGAATAAATGGAGCAACCATGAAGGGTTCTAATTAAAGAATTTGTAAAAACTGTATTGTCATATTATCAAAATACAAATGGAATTATGGGAAATATGCAAATAGCAAAAAGGAGAAACTTCACCATTACCATAAAGGAATCTTACATGAACATACGTATAGTTAAAAAAAATATATATGAAAGTTAATGCACGCAAAATGAGTATAGCATATTGATAGGCAAATTGATTTAGTTTTAAAAAATATATCAAAATAAGCCATATAATACCATGTTCATGTAAAATTATATAACAATAAGCTATTTAATAGCATGATGTTCAGATTGTGATGACCAGCCATCGTTAACGGACATGCATGTGTGATTTGTAACTTAGAATGAGCTAACAGGAAAAAATGAGTGATCATTGGATGTGTAAGCACTACTACTGACTAATGAGCACTTAAAAGGCAATGCTCAAGGAGACAACACTACAGGACTTGAGTGCTTTCTTTTAATCATGTCTACTTATCATTTTGTGTATAGTTTTACTACCAATGGTTAGAATTATATTTCTTTTTTAAGAGTCATATATTCCATATTGTTTTTGGACTAATATCCTCAGCTATACTAACGGTGGTAAAATGCTATTTTATTTTTAAAGTTATATATTTATTATCTATTAGAATAAATGAATTAAAGACAAATACATCAAAAATGTATACAGTATAGTTAACTTTCTACTAAATAAAAAATATAAATTTTTGCACTATATGCTCTGTGACATTATTAGAAAACCATATACAAAATTCAATGTCTTTACTATCTTTTAAAAAAAATTAAATCAAGATTCGCATGTACTAGCAAGAATAATTGTACTGTAGAATATGATTACATAAGAATGTGTTGTGTCATTTTCTCCACTTCCTTCTCCCTCGCGGAGCTGTATATCCTCCTTAAATGACAAGTAAAGCTACAAAAGCCCTTGTGTTTTGATTTTCTCTTCCAGCAGAATATGCATCTTTAATCAAAGCAATTCATACATATATGTATATTTAGAGGAATATGAACCTTTGCGCTGTATTGCAGCATTTCTGTCATTTCGCAAAGTAAATTGGAAGCTTAAAACATTTTCAAGCCATTATTTTCCTGGAAAGGTTATCATATGTTTTTAGATTGTGATACTTAAGCAAAATTTATGCCTAATTTGTTACCAGGCATACATTCATTCTGAGAATCTTTTGTTGGTTTCTTTTTTATATAATATATAATTTTACCTCCTCACTATGTACAGGCTTGAATGTAATATAATAAACAATGGATGTCTGTTTCTCTTTTTATATTGAATTCACATTCATAAAGTGTACAAAAGGATATAATTTTATAGTTTTATCATGCAGAACCTTTCAAAGAATTACTTCAAATATGGGCCCAATAAAAGACAGGAATAGCTAGAAACCTAAATGATAAATGTAGTTTTTTTTTTCTTCTAATAGCTTATGAATAGGTTTAATACATTTAGTAAAATTCAATTTTAGAAAAAAAAAATAATGCTCTTATATTTACAAAATATATACTTTGGGTTCCATATTATTGATTCTGTTTATACATTGTCACTAGAGTTGTTCGTAAGGAACATTACGTTTTTTGGACCCCGGACCCGAACACGGACATATCACTGTATGTTCGGGTTGGAGTTCGGGGATTTTTTTTTTCAATATATAATTTTATTTGATTTAAAAAAAACAAAGAAATCAGTAAAAGGTAACAAACATTGAGGAAATATCCTCATTTGAAAAACAGTTTGTATTAACATATGTATGTTATAGAATCTACATCAAAATTATTAACATATGAGTATTATTAAGTAACAAACTACATAAACATATGTATATCTTCCGAACCAGCTTTGGTCACCTTTAAAACAAAGTATCATAGGATCAACTATAGTTACATTCATATTTTAAGCTTGACAGTCATTAGAAAACCTTATGTTACAAAATGCATGGGTGTGTGATAATAAAACATTCTAATAACAATTAGGTATTTGAGTAAACGGTGTTACAGAAGAGACTTCCAATTGGGCTCCTGTTTTGTTAGATTTATAACATGTCAGGTTACGGTATCTTGCTCAATTATGAACCTAATAAAATAATGCTTACAGTTTAAAATCACCGTGAGCTTTTACCTTAGGGGTCGGGGGGAGGGAGTATAACTGCGAGGTGATACATAAGGTTGATAAAGCAGGAATTGTGTATAGTAGGGGAATGGGGGAGAGGGTAGATAAAGTAAAAAAGGTACAGTAAGTTGTAGTGAGTTAAATGAAATTGAATGAAATTAAGTAAAATTAAGTGAAATAATAAAGTAGTTATAGTACACTGAACTAAATATGTTATAGTCAAAAGCTGATAACTGACTTCCCGTGCACAACATTAATACGTAAATTACAATTAATTTACAGATTAACATGTTGTGTTAATTGTATTGTTGGTAAAAGAGTTCCCAAACTTTCCAGTTATCCTGGAATTTTAACATGTTTCCTTTTTTGGCCCATTCCTTTTCGTGGTGGAATGTAAGGTCTACCCTTCTGAGTACTTCTGGTATTGTGGGACAAGTCGTACTTTTCCAATGAAATGCGATGCTTATCTTTGCTGCTAATAATATATTCAGAACGGCAGCTTTGGATGGCATCGTTTCCAGCCCGAGGATTATATGCAGTAAGTAATTTTCTGGTGTGAGTATCAGCTCGCTTCCTATTACCTTGTGTAATATCTTTTGTATTTGGAGCCAAATTTTTTTCAAGTGTATGCAATCCCAGAATATGTGTTTTATGTCCCCCCTTACTTCATTGCATCTCCGACACATGGAGTTTGCCGTTGGATATATTGCACAAAGCCTGCTAGGCACTAGGTACCATCTCATAAGAATTTTATAATATGCTTCCCAGTGGGTGACACACTTAGATGAGAGCTTAATTTGAACTATAGCCACTTCCCACTCATCCAGGGGTAAGACTGTGTTTAGATCTTTTTCCCATTTGAGCATATAAGCAAGTTTGCTTCCTTCTTCCTTAACATTTTGTGCCATATAGCAAGCTGATAGAATATGGTTGTGTGTAGGTTTTTGTTAATCTGATGGCACAAACGGCCTACTTTACTTAAAGATAGAAGGTTGATATGCTGTATTCCCCTTGATTGTAATATGTGTTTGATTTTTAGATATATGAAAGTGTCTCTTGCTGGTAGTGAGTAAAATTATTGTAGTACTGGAAAGGGGATCATATCGTTTTTATCGAGAAGGGAGTGTACATGTGTGAAGCCCTTTATAGACCATGAAAGCAAGGGAAGATCTGCTGAAATAGTTGAGAGAGCGGGTATTGGTGCTAGAAACAGCAGTTATGTGGGGGATATTAATAGGGAACTCCAGTTTTTCCAGGACTGTAGTAGAAATTTTGTACATGACAGCACAATGGTGCCTTTGGGCCTAGATGTTGTCCACAGAAAGTCAGAGATCTGGGTTAGGCTGGTGCATGCTGATTCAAATTGGAGCCAAATTGGTTTAGTTCTGTTTGTCATTATATCTAGACACTATGCTAAAATTGCTGCTCTATAGTTGTTTTTAATATTGGGGACATTTCACTGTGTACTGTCTGGATTTTGTTATTTTAACCCCTACGTAGGAAATAAAGATTTTACACCACTCAAATGGATATAGGCTGTGTAGTTTATCTTTTAGTAATGTCTGGATTCTGATTGGTAGAATTTAGGTTTTTGTGATGTTATTTTTATAGTAAGATATGCGTCCATAAGTTGTTAATGTGTTTAGGAGGTGTGGGATTGATGTTTCTGGTTGCGAAAGAAAAAGCATTATGTCATTTGCGAAGAGGGCTCTTTTTTTCTCCCCTGCCGGGGATTTCAGTCCCGGCAGAAGGGGATCGTTTTTTATATTTTGCACTAAAGGTTCTAGACATAAAATGAATATTAAAGGGGAAAGTGGACATCCTTGACAAGTCCCATTAGTTATGAAGAAGCTTCTAGACATGAAGCCTGAATTAAACACTTTGGCCAAAGGGGAGGTGTATAATGCAAGTACACTGGATATGAATGTTTGTGAGAACCCAAAGGTTTTTAGTGTCGCTGTCATTTAATCCCAATTTAAGTGATCAAACGCCTTTTCCGCGTCAAGTGCAATAAGTATGCTGCTTTGTGTGCTATGATTGGCCCAGTCTATCATATCCATACAGTATCTGGTGTTGTCCCCAACTTGTCTACCCGGTACAAATCCTGCTTGTTCATCTGATATTAATGTTGGCAATAAGGGTTTTAATCTAGATGCTAGTAATTTGGCATACAATTTAACATCTTCATTTAGTAATGAGATTGGTGTTAGATTGCCGCAG